ATACTTAATATTTTATAGCAAGGTATATAGGAAAATCTATCTAGTATCGAATCATCAATTTTGAATTGTAGGAATTTACGCTAGAAGTAAGATATATCTTTTAAAAGTGTTTTTCTGTACTGCGTCATCTTAAAGTTGACGTTTTTGATGTAATTCGTGATTACGCCCTTTTTAGTACCATCACCAATAGGAATTKTGCTTCTAATGTCAAAGCTTAAGTAAATAGAATTTTAACTGATTTTGTAGCTTAGAAAATACCTTGTAAAATCTAAAATCTAGTCAGTAGTTGAATAAAGCTCAAAGAATCAGAAGATCCAGAGTTCAGGCCTACTAACAATTCAACGCATAATATGATATAATCCCAGATATTCCAATTTATCTTTCATACCAGTCGAGTTTTGGAGTAGCCATATGCGCTCTAAGAGCGACTTTAATGATTTCTCTATACATTTCTTTGAAATTTCCGGGTAGCGCGCGTGTGACGTGCATGAAAAATACAAAGAAAGTTATGAAGAACTAAAAATAATTTACTCGCTCCCTAGGTCAACTAAGTATTTCAAAAACTCCTTTTTGTGGTATCAAGCGTTTGTAATTGGTGAGTTTTTCAATTTCTCAGTGTATCCTTGTCAGTTTTGCTAGACTTTTTTGCATATCCGGAAACAAATTTACTTTACAAATCATATAATCTCATAGTCGCATGCTAATTTGTTTGTCTAAAATGAGAAACATGTTAAAATTTCGATACAAGCAGAGTATGCTGAAGTTCTTGTTATCGACGGGGGTCAGTATCATAGATTATACCTATTTGCCAGTTGACTGATCAACTTGTACTGAGCTTCATTTAGCTTTCAAGTGAACATGTATCTTCGAATTCTTATTCTAGCTTCTGTATCTGCTTGCGTGAGAATTGCTCTTTGTGAACAACTTCCCCAACCCTGCGCTCTCCTGAAAAAAGGAATCCAAGACTTCCTCCGAGAAGCTGGAATATCAGCCAACAAACTCAAGACCTACGCCGACTTCTTTACTCAAAAGAACATCGATGTGAACGTTTTCAAGGCTCTCACTTTGGCCCAGCTGCAAAACCTCGGTATTCAAGTTCTTGGAGATCGTTTAAAGATCCAGAAGTACTTTTCCAGTGATCTTTGCAACAACTGTGCCAAAAGCAACGTTTGTAAAAATGGCGGAGTTTGTCAAGACGGTTTCCGATGCTTCACATGTTACTGTCCTGACACGTATTACGGTCCTACATGCAGCAGCAAGTGTCCTTGTAAGAACTCAGGCAAATGCATCGGCAAGGAAGACGGTGGCTTTGAATGTAAGTGTATGGCAGGGTATGCAGGGAACCTTTGTGAAAAACAGTGGCTCAGTGAAGATGCATTCAAGCAGCTGGAGCAGAAAGTGAAAAAACTGACAAAGAAACTTGAGCAAAACGAAAAGAAGATTACTGAACAAGGAAAAGCTTTAGCTGAAGTAAAGAACAAGTTTAACATGCTAAGGAAAAATGAATGGCGCCTCGTGAGAGTTGATAAACCACTGGATAAACTCGCCAAGATTGCCCTTTACCAAAAGAAGCCTACCTACATCCAAAGTATGCCGATGGTGTTTCCTAGCAACACTAAAGCCATTATCATCTCTGTGTTCACTAACTTCTGGAACACTAAAGGACACGCCTACCTCGACTTCAAAACCTACCAACAGGGCAATGAGAAAGACGGTAGCGTGACTGTTGTAAACACACACTTTAATATTTACGCCAACACGTTCTACTACGAGTTGATGCTGCCTTGGAATACTACTTTACCACAAGAATTGGTCTTCAAGATAACAGGCAGCTACTTGACTGGAGGAAGCAATAACTGGTACCAAGTCAAGCTTGTGGGCTTCGTAAAAGCTTGATAAATTTAATTGTCCTGTAAAATGCAATATGT